AAAGGTGGTATGTCCAAAGCATTACTAAGCAACTTTTTATTCTGGGCTTTAAGTTTGTGTCCACAAAGCTATGCACAGTTCTGACAATTTTGAAAACAAATAAATACTTAGCTGATACATTATGGTAGCTGTTCTTAAAGAATTAAGCATCTAGAGCTTTTAATTAAAATTTGAGTAGAGCTATGCTTATTTAGATAAATGGTAGGCTATTTGATATAGTGCAATGGTGCATACATATAATAGATACTTTCCTCACCTGTGTTGTTTTCAATACAGCAAAAGAAGAAGAATGATAAATCTACAAACAGGTTTGTGAGTGCCCCTAACCTAAGTGCCCTGGAGTCTGGTGGAGTGGGAAACGGACACCCTAACCGCCTGGAGCCCATTCCTAATTCACCCATCCACGATATTGAGTTCAACAGCAGCAAGCCTCTTCCAACACCTGTTCCACCCAAAGAGGCAAAGACCTTTTTGAGGTGAGCACTGCCTCACCAGTCATAGTGTCACTGGTCGTAAAAGTGCAGAACAAAAGATATATACTTCATTTTCTTATATCTACTACCTCTTTGTAGAGCTCCTTTTAAATATCTGTTTTTTAAAATAAAAAAATTATCTCCAAAGTTTGGCTTAACCCCTTCAAGACAAAGGACGTGGCAGAACCATTACAGCACCTTGTTACAAAGGGGTTAATAAACTTTGCCATTGTGTAGTATTTCCTGTAACTATACAGTGTATGCTTAAACTTTCTAGTACAAAATAGATTTATTATTAGTTCTAGAACTCTTTTAAAATGGCCTTAAAGGAACAGTTTTGGCACCGTAACAAGTTTAGCAAAATTAAGTTGTTATGGTGACAGGAGGTCCCAGGTGCTTTCTTATCATTAAGGGTTAACTGTTCAGGAGTAGTTAAACCTCAAAGTTGACTTTCAAGCATTGTTATTCGCTGTTCCTGTCCACAGTTTCAGAAAATTAGCTTGAGGAAACACGGACTGCCGCTAGGCTGGAGCGCCACTGATTGGCTTAGAACAGACAGCTGATACCATAAGCCAATCAGTAGCTCCTTATTCATAAATAAGGTACATACCTGTTTTATGAATGGCTTAGAAGAGTAAGCTGATGCTCAAATCCTATCAGTTGCACTCTTGCCTGGCCATACGTCTTCAAGTTGATTTTCTGAAATTGGATGTGGACAGAAACACCGAGGAACAGAGCCAACCTTGGGGTTAAACTGTTCGTGAATGGTTAAATCGCTAATGGTATGCACACTTGACTTTGCTCACAGAAATTAACAACTTCACACATCAAAACTGTAGGTTGCAGGAAATACTACCAGTTTTTTAATCTCATTTTGACCTGCAAAGATTTTGGTGTAATTTTCTCTTAAAGGGAAACTGTTGCTTCTCAGCATCTTTTCAGCATTGCTTAACCACTTTAAACAAACATGTAGTTATGAAATGTAAAAAATAAAATCAAATGTAGAAATCCACACTTCTATCCTGGAACTGAGCTCTGCCTTAGTTCTGCCAGCCATTATTACAAGCTGTCCCCTTTCCTCGTTAATGACTTTTCTTGTCGTTGAATAGGGTTTCTGTTCCTCCTCCCAAAGTGTGCCCTAGCTGTGCCAGAAGTGAACTGTTTTTATTTATTAATAGAGAGCATCCCATGAAAGAGGTTAACACAAGTCAGGTTAATATAAATGGTTTATTTCAATGGTGTAATTTTCTGAAAAGCGACAGTTGCCCTATAAGAATCTGTTACTTAACCTATGTAATATCACCCTTGTTAATCTGCATATGTACTGCATGTAATTGCACATTTACCAGCATGTCTGTGTATATATTATCCGTGTAATGTTGTTATATGTGTTCAATAAATATGTATACAGGTATATATGTTGTTAGTTTGTTTTTACGGAATGATAAATCAGCATTATAATGGAAATGAAATGGCACTTGACATGCTGTTGGTACTCTGTTTTCTCATCTGCTAAAACATGCAAATGTAATCCTGTTAAAAAATAACCTTGACACAAGTGTGTGTTAAATACCTCTGTAAAACTATGCCAAAGCTGCAGAGACAAATATTCTTTTCTTTGGATACCCAAAGTATCACGGTTTATAGTTTGTTTTCTAATGTACTTTAGATTTTGATGGAATGAATATTGACACCTTACGGCCTTTTTATAGTCTTAAAGTGCCCTCTAGTGACAGACTATAAAATTGTATACGTTCTCATATGGTTATACAAATATATATTTTTGTAAACCGTATAATATATAGTGTATCTATATAGCGCCAAATAACTCTGCAGCGTTTTACAATATAATGAAATTAATTTACAATAAATGAGACAAATTACACAGTGACACAGGAACAATAGGTATATGAGGGCCCTGCTCAAATGAGCTTACAGTCTACAAAAGGTATACCCAGAACCTACCAATGACATGTCTTCAATGCTATATCACATAACTGCTCATATTTATAAGCATGAAATGTTTGTTGTTTCCCCAGGTATTGACCTGCATGCAAGTTTGCATTAATTTGCGACTTCCCATTAATTGTTCCTGTGTGTTTGATTTTACGTATTGACACCTTTTATGGTATTTTTATGTATTGTACTTTTGAGCCAGTACAAAAAAAACAACTATACCTTATATTACCAGTATAGTTTTATGTATACATTTAGAACATGTAAAATAAAAGCCCTTTCTCTTATGCACAATGAAACCCTATGTTGTTCTAATTGTAATAAATAATTATCACTGCATGATACAACTCAGGTCATTTGAGTCAAGTGTGTATACCCCTGATTCAAATATCTACTGTGTTTGTGTGAACCATATAAGAAGAAATCTATGTATATATCCATGTAACATGACAGGGTTTCTGTCATACTTGTCACCAGTCTCTGTTTTAATGGAAAAGGAGGCTAAAAGAGGGCCTACAAAACAGACACATAGGTAAAAATGATAAAACTACTTATAAATTTCTTTCATAAAACACATCTTTTTAATTACATTCTGCTAGTTCCCCTTTGCTTTGTAGCTTGTGCTGCTGATGTATTACAATGGAGTGGATGTCAAGGTGTCACACAGGGACAATAAGAAGGAAATGAACGACGATGCATTTGCATTTGTTCTAGCACAGCAATGCTTTATGTCTGCTTATTAAGTCTGCTTTCTTCCAGACCCGCTCTGTCCTATTCTTAACACTTCTTCATAATGTCTCTCTTTTTTTTTTTCTTTCTCTCTGGGATATAGCCATCCCCAGACTGAGACTTCACCAATGGCATCTCCTGATCCACAACGCCAGGAATGGTTTGCTAGATACTTCACTTTCTAAAGACAACATTTGATTCTGTTTCTCTTTCTATCGTGGCACAGCTTTGATGTGGACTGTTTGTAAGAGCATGACCTTGACCAAATCCTTATGTGATCAAGCTTTGCCGTAAATACTGTTTGTCAAACACTGTGACTGAGAGTTATTCATCTCCAATTGAAAATGCACTGTACCAGTTCATTTATCTTATACTTTGTGTTCCTTTTTCATTTAGGTGAGTGATAACTTATTTTTATGACTTCTTTTTTTCTTTGGACAATTTTGGTAAAGATCTATCTATTAGAATTACTGTGCTACCTCCTTGTACAACCTATTCCTTTTTTTCTGTAGTAACACGTTGTTTCCAGAAACTCGAATATTGCGCTATAACGTTGCTTCAGTACTAGAATGAGTTACAATACATTGATTTGTACTGAAGCGATATGAATGCCTTCTTAAAGAACCACCTGCCATAAAAGGGAGTTTATTGAGCTTAATCTTAGTTTACGTTGAATTACTTTTCATAGTTTGACACCAGAAATAACAATGTGCCTGGAGTCAGATTCTCAGCTTCTGATTGGTATGTATATACTATGTATGGCAATTGTATTCCTATTGTAATAACATCCAACCCTATATCCCAGTGTGTTATTTCCTATGGAAGTCACTTTTCTGATTAAAAAAAAAATATTTTTTTCTTATAAGAATATACCTGGTTTGTGATTTTATTGAAATGAGTTGTGGCAGTATCGTATATGAATATTTGTATTACATGATGTGTTCTGTAAACGTCTAAGCTAAAGGATATTTTTTTAGTCTAAGACACAAATTTCTAATACATTTCATTAATAGATTTGTATTAATAATCTCACATACCTTCCTACATATCAAAAAGAAAATAAACTCATCAAAACCAGGATAACTGATATACATTTAAATTAATATGTTCAAAAGTGCATTAAATATTAAAAACTAAAAAGAATAATCACCCTTTTAGTTTTTTACTAGTTTGAAGCAAATACATAGGGTTCCATTGCCACTGCATTGACCAGAAAGTGGCAAAGCTTTTTCAACTAATCCTGGTCTTTCCATTATTACTCTGTGCTGTTGAAATCCTGCAAACACAGCCGGTATTTCTGAGCCATGTAGTTCAGGTAATAACTTTCTTTGGAAATCTGCATTTTCATTCAGAAAAAAAAAGAATATATATGAACTGCTTGCGCAGCTGGAAGTAGTTTCATTCATGGTGTTTCATTAATAAAAGTACCATCAGTTGTGCTGCTGATATACAAGTTTTCTTAATGTTGTTCTTCCTGCACCATCTTATACTATTTTTAGATGCATGTGCGTAAAGTGCAGAATGGCATTGGATCCTGATCTGATGCCATCATGTACAGCAGCACATATAGCTGTAAAACAGAAATGAGCAAATTGGGCAAAAGTGATAGACATGAGCGTTTCCAAAATAAAGTATTTAATTCTGAAGGGAAAACAAAACATGTTTCTGGAATCATGCAGGGAAATCAGATGCATTGTAGCACACTGGTGTAGTGAAGCTCAAATTAGTAATGAAACACTGTGATACAGTTACATAAATATGGATTTTTGTAGTAGAAGACAGGTTTGGGCAACATATATAATAACATGCATACGAGGTCTCTCTGGAAAGTATCCAGCCATGTAATGTGAAAAATATAAACATTTATTGAAAAAGATACATGTTACAAGAAACATTGTACATATGACAATGGCCTCAGTCTTCTTTCAAGTAGGCACCTTGGGACCTCACACAACTCTCCCAGTGTCTCTTCCACTGTTCAAAACACTTTGCAAAATCCTTTGATGTAATTGACATCAGCTGCTTTGTTATATTTACCTGAATCTCATCGATGGCCTGAAATCTCTTCCCATCCTAAGGAAATTTTATTTTTTGGAAAAGCCAGAAGTCGCTGAGCGCCAAATCTTTCCACAGATTCTCGACCATCTTCAAAGCATTTGTGCCACACTTTTATTTGCACTACACTTTTTTGCATCGTCCCCCAAAGTCTTTTAAGTAATCCAAATAGTTTCCACAGAGGAATGTTCAAACTTAATGCAAAATTTGATGCAGATTCATTGTTCTACTTACTCAGTCATTTTGAATGTGACGGCCAATCGGTGACACAAAGCTCACTCAATGGCATCTAACGCCCCTTTTGACTAGTACAATGAAGACGTCATTGTTCACTCATGCACATTCCAATCCACTCTCCTTGGCTTCCAGGTTACATTAATTTTGCACAAACCATTCTCAGTATATTAACAACAGCTGGACTTTTTACGGACAGACCTCTATATCTGCCTACCTCCATATGTCATATATAGTAACCTTGTTTGAGCAGGACCTTCTTCATCTTTTAGATATCCCCTTTCAATAATTGTAAAGTGCTGTGGAATATATTGGTGCTATATAAGTTCAACAAATAATAACTTTTTAAAGGGGCATGTCCATAATAGCATTACATGTTGTTTGTAGTTATCTGGAAGAAAAGGGCAGAGTGAAGGGAAATATCATGTCTACATGGAGAAAAATTCCAGCTTACTTACATACATATTCCTTTTACTATGACACAATTCACATTCCCCCTCCCTCTAAATAATTACTTGTATATGAGAGTTAAGGCGTAAAAGTAAAATATTAGACAAAACTGTTACTGTTCAGGATTAGCACAATCAGCAAGAACACAGAAAGGAAAGCAAGCCCAGTCCTGTGATAATTATTGTGAAAACAGCATAGTTTATTTCATTAAAACGTATCCCGAGAACGAAGTGCTACCATACTCAATCTGACCTAAGGAGTGTGCAGTCTTACAATAACAAATCACTTGTTTTAAAAAATATATATTTATATTCACACAGGCCTTATTTAAACAGTGAACAATTAATTTTTTTTGAGTGTAAACCAAATTGAGAGTCACTACTGTTAGTGCATTCAGGTACAAAGCATAGCCGCTTATCAACATAATAATTTATTGTTATGATGGCTGTAGGTAGAGAAAAGGAGTGATTCCAGCAGTGTACACGGTTACAGAACTATGTCTTGCCCTGGCAGATTTATTCTCAAGTTATAGTTTACCGAAGTGTGGCAATATGAAAGTTTTTATTATGTAATCACAATAAATAAGACTGAGACCAGGGAATTATTAATTTTTTCATTAAATATGACATTGCCTAAATTATTCAGCCTAGATCATATTTTAGTGAAATCCTCCCATATTATATTGCTGTATTTGGGGATTAGGAAGTATTACTGGCATATAGAAAAATTATCATTACTAGGTGTCATTTTACTTGTTTTTAATGCACCAATGTGCCAGACATTGTGACGCTATGCATCATTTTGGTGTCATATCTGAAACAGACCACTCCAAAATGGGTCTTTTCTTATGCCAGAGCAATTGCTGCGATATTCTTGTGACATTTGTACACATTGTGGCATAATTTCTCTGACACCAGCGAATAATTATCCTCTACTTGCTATTAAACCCACATCACAAACAAGTTTGGTAACTGAAGTATTTCTTTTTGATATAAATAATAAACTATTCTAAAATATGATTATTTCACTGTGACTAGACTTGTTCAGTTTGTCCAAACAAAGTTTCCTGAGTTAGACATTTTGTTTGGGAAGTCTAACGCTCATCAATGTGATGGTTCAGTTTAGCTGAATTTAGAAAAACTGATTTGGACGCCAAACAACTCAGTGGAGCAAGAATTAATCATGAGTGGACTGCTTAAGGGGTCCAGTATGACCCTCATATTAGTATATGTCTGGTATAAAATCTTCCTTATGCTCCCACCCGCAGCTGCCCACTGTGATTAAACTAGCAACTGGGCAACTGCTGTTGCCCGGTTGCTACCAAACTCCCCATCCCATGGCGATGAGGACTTTAAGGGGCCAGGCATCGGGTGAATTGGCTAATGAAGGCTGCCTTTTAGTGGTTTTTCTTGGATATTTCATCCTCATTTGTTGAATTAAGCGCAAACAATTTTGTTTTTAGTTTATTTAATAATAATTTGCATTTACTTTTCATACCTCCAATTAGTAGTTTTTTAATCCCTTTTCCATTCACGTGTTTGGGATTTCCTTAGGTTGCTAATGCCAACTCACGTAAATAACTCTTTTTTTAATAGCTTGTGTAGAGCAGCTAACATGGAATGTGCATGATAATGTATTTTCCTTCAGACTTTGTCGTAAAACTGGAGAAGTATTGTAAGAATGGAGAGGGGCAGGAACATGGCATAACATCATATCCATCTGTGTCTCTCCTTTCACACAGCACTGGAAACTACACTGAAAGGACAGGACTGAGGACAATTCACACCACTGCCAGTTTCTAAACTCCAGGAAGAAGGGAAACAGATGGGGAGAGACACAGGAGGTTGGAGAAACATAGGAGGTGCAGGGGGAAGGGGAAATAGGCCTAAATTGGAGGAAATTGCATATCGGAAGGTGCTTAAAGGAACACATCATGTAATAGCAAGTAGAGGATAATAATAAACATGCTCGTTTTCCTGGCACTATAGTGCCCTGAGGGTGCCCACACCCTCAGGGTCCCCCTCCCGCCGGGCTCTGGGGAGAGGAAGGGGTTAAAATCTTACCTTTCTCCAGCGCCGGACGGGGAGCTCTCCTCCTCTTCCCCTCCTTCATAGCGACGTCATTAAGCTGAAGTGGTCTCGGTGCCTATTGTGGTCCTTTAAGTAGGGGATAGGGAAAGAGGCAAATGTGGATGGGAGATGAGGCAAAGAGAAACAAGTGGTGGGTAGACAAATACGGCACAAGGCGTTAATAAAAAAATAAGGGCAAGAAACAGTGGAGAGAACAAATGTGTTCCCCACAACTGGGGAAAAGAAGCACAAATGGGTAGGATATGTGGGTGTACCAATGCAGAACTGGGTGAGAGATGGGATAAAAAAAGGTAGAAGGGGGGAAGAGACACAAATGATGATAGGGTGATAAACAAAAGTGAACAGAAATGATGGATGGAGAAACATAGATAAGGAGACAAATATGATGGGAAAAATAAATTGGGTACTGGACATGCATTCAGAATCATGCACTCTTGCAACAGAAGAGTGGCTGCATATAAAGCATGACATGTATGTGTCTATGTGTGTCAGATTGTCTGTGTATCAGTGTGTAATAGTGTGTGTATGTGCCAGTGTGTATCTGTATGTCAGTGTGTGTGTCAGTGAGTGTGTGCAAGTTTGTATGCCAGTGTGTGTGTGTATCTGTGTTCATGTTAGTGTGCATGCGCCAGTGTGTGTATTTTTGTGTCAAGGTGTTCATACATGTTTGATGGCTGTGTGTGTGGGGAGGGCTATATCTGGGGAAGCCACCTCCCTGATATGTGTTTTTACATGTTGGGATTTCAATATCATACACAAAAAATGACTATATACCATGTTTCTGGTTTTAATGGTAATAAAAAAAATATAACAAAATGAAGTTAGAGAGTTAGAATTTTTTTCTTTCTCTTCTTATATATATATATATATATATTTTATTCTTTATTTTTTTTTTGTCGTGCAGGTGATTACAAGACAACGTAAAACGCCACAACAGCGTAAATAGAGACACACATGCTAAGCAGTGGCAATAAGAATGGCACATTTTTCTTTTCCTTTTTTTCCCCTTTTGGTAGACAAACAAGTTAAATGTAAAGGTTAAGTATCGTAAGATATAAATGTAGTATTAGAGGCATCTCGCCCCAGAGGGAGTTAGGACATGTGCGGTTTAGTATTTGCATTGGAGTAGAGAATGCCAGCTGCCTTAGCGACATGTAAGCCTGAAGGTAGGTATATTAGAACAGGTCGCCATAGGCTATCACCCATGTGCTAAAAGAGGGTCGATACGTCAAAATGGGGGTGACTTGGGTCAGGGGTGTGGGGTAAGGATAGTATGGGGGATTATACCCCATTTGCCAGCAGGTACATCTAGGCTGTACATAAAGGTGAGCCTCTAGGGGCACTCAGCATATTATAGCTTGAGAAAAATAACATATAAAATAGTGAAACTTAATGTATGAGTGATAACATTAACATTGATATTGAGGGGCAGCAGAGGTTGCCTGCAGTCTGTGTTCATGGTATCACTGCCATTGCGGGGCTCCCTCTCAGTGCAGCTGGCACAAAAGGTTGAACCCTGTCAGGGTCCCAGGACCTCTGTGGTCGCGATGTTGTTGGAGGAGGCAGCTCTGCTGCGTCAGCTTTCAGTCCCAGCGTGTGGAGGGCAGCAGGGATCTCTGAAGCATCCGTAATCTTTAAAGTTCCAGAGTCTCTAGGGATGATCAGGCATCGTGGAGTGCCCCACTTATATAGCACTTTGTGGGTAGCAAGCTCCTTAGTTAGCGGTTGCAAGGTTCATTGCCAGTCCAACGTGGCCTTGGAGAGATCTGGGTAGAATGTTAAAGAGTGATCCTCAAACTTATTTGGTGATTTGTTGCAAACTGCTGTCGTGAAGGTCAGGCTGTCTTGTCTGTTCTGGAAGCAGATAATAGCGTCTCTGAAGGTCTCTGCTGTAGGTTTGGGTTAAGCTGTTATTCTGTAGCAGCCATCCAACAGCATAGCTTTAGCTTGTTTGGCATTAAAGAGATTCAACAGCAGTCTCCTGAAGAAGTGGGGAATTTCAGCAGCCTCCATGTTGTTAGCTAGGCCGCGCACCTTTACATTCTTCCACCTCCTCCTGTCCTCCATAGTTGACATGTGGTCTTGAACTAGGATGTGTTCGCATTGTAACACCTGTAGTTTGGAAAGTCAAGACTGGAAAGTCGGGTTTCATGAGCCGCTGTGTTAAGCTCCGCATCGTGGAGACGTGTGGAGACTCCTCCAAGCTCCTCTTGGAACTGGCCTATGTCTCCGTTACTGGGGAGCCACCAGTAGGTGCAGGAGGCATGGGGGTATGTACAACCTGCTGGCTAGCCATCCCCATATCCGCTAGAGAAGCCTCACTGGATGATCGGGAGAGCTCGTCGGAGCAAGGCACCATGACAGGTCTCTGCGGCCTCCACAACAGCTCGCTAGGGTTTTTTTGGGTCTGTATTTCTTATTTTTGCAATCCATCATCGTGAGCACGGTTCCCCTTGAGTTTGGGAGTCTTTGGGTGCGTAAAATCCGCTTTATTCAGCGTTTAGGCTCCATTGAGCGGGGAGCACACCAGAAGCACGTCTGCTCGGCTCAGTTGTTGGCTCCGCCTCCCCTCTTTTGATATATATTACATGATGCCACTTAGACTGCTTCACAGATAGTGTGACATGATCAGGAGCTGTGTTAGAGAGATTAGTCCCTTGATTTGTTGAACTGCAACCAAACTGCATGAATTCAGCCTATCATCACTGCCAGGAGAGGCCTGAAAGTAATACACAAAATACTATTATCCGGTGTCCACACTTCACTCCCACTTTTATCGAAATGTGGTCATCTGATAATTGTATTTTTGTGGAGGACATTGAGATTATCCAGAAATGCTGTAGCTGTTTTTGCATTTTCAAAACTTCCTCTCATTGAAGTGGTCTGGGTGAAGTGACTCTGTCCTCTTAACTGCATAGCTTCGGATCAGTCAGAGTGCTCATGATTCCCATCCCTCTGCACTGAAATCACCTTTAATCGGGACGTGAGCTTTAGAACTGGACCATGGAGCAATACAAGAAGGTTGTCTGGTCTGATGAATCATGTTTTCTTTTAGATCAGGTGGATGGCTGGGTTTGTGTGCGTTATCTACCTGGGGAAGAGGTGGCAGCAGGATGCACTATATGTAGATGTGAAGAAGACAGCTCGGCAGAGGCAGTTCTATGCACTGGGTAGTGTTAAAGTTTGTTCTGCGGAAAGTCCTGATCCGGGACTGAAACGTTGACCTGTTTTTCTTGTATCTGGAAACTCTGATGGAGTCTTGAAACTTCTACTTTTGATGGAAAAAAGTTGAATTAATACTACTACAAGCTATGTGTGGAGACTCCTCAAAGAAGCATACATTATTTTGCTAGGATAAGACCAGTCTAAAATGAGTTACATTGAAGTTGTGGCAGGCTTATGTAATGTATGATCAATACGTCAAAGTACCACATCCACCTCCCTGAAAAGGCAGTGTGAACTGGATTAAAACTGGAAATAAAACAGTTTTATTCAACCACCATTAAAAACAAGATTTATTATCAAAATATACAGACTTTCAGCTCAACAGAACAAATGTTTTAAGTGGTTTCCCCAAATTAAACTGAAATTGCAACTTATAACGACTTCTCCCTACGGAAAAACATTGGATTGGCTAAAAAACGATATTCTGATGATGTCACCAAGGAGGCTGATCTGGGATGGGGCCAGCATCTTTGGACCCGCGCGATGCTGAAAATAAGGTGAGTTTTAACATTTTCTAAGTGGGGAAAGTCACATAAATGGTGGATTAAACACTATAGGATCAGGAATAAATGTTTGTGTTCCTGACCCTATAGTGTTCCTTTAGTCTCCTAGATTTCCTGGTACTCTAATTAGTCCATCTTGACTTCCATTTTCTTAAGTTTTCAGTGTAAGAGGATGCTAAGCAGCTCCAGAGCATCACCGAGCCACCACTATGCTTAACTTTAGGTAGAGTGTTCTTTTCAGCATATGCTTTGTTCTTTTTTTCTCCTGACATACTGCTGATCCATTGGGCTGAAAAGTTCCAGTTTTGTTTCATCTCTCCACAAGACAGAATCCTAAGCCTTCAGTGGCTTATTTATATGATTTACAGCATACTGGAGCCAACTTTTCTTGAGCTCTTGGTTCAGTAGTGGTGTACGTCTTGGAGTTCTGGCATGAAAACCTTCTGCGTTTAATACACACCATACTGTGCTCACTGAAACCACCATGCCTGCTGCCACCAAGTTTTGCTGCATGTATTTTGCAGTCACTCGAGGATTTTTTACAACCTGCCTTCATAGAAATATGGTTGCAATGATTGATAGCTTCCTTTCACTGCACTGTCCAGGTAGTGTAACCACTCCTCCTTCAACTTTGAACTTGCGTACTATGCTTCCAACGGTGTTTCTAGGAACATTCGGTGCCTTTTCTATCTTTTTGTAACCTTTTCCTTGTTTGTGAAGGGCGATGATCTCTTCTCTTAATTTTGTGAACCATTCTTTTGACATGGCCATATTCCTAACATGCAGTCACACGTGACACTCAATAAACCCCTACCCAGTTCAGGTATTAAAGTGTTCTAGTTCAAGCGAAACTAATGAAGCTGTAGATTAGTTGAATCATGTGTGTTTAAGCATATGCCTATTTTGCATATTTGTGCTATTGTGAAGGATACTATCCAGGGGGTTAAATAATTTTGAGAGGGAGAAGTAGTTTTAAGTTGCCTTTTCAGGAAAACCACTTGAAGCATTCATTGTTGTGTGTGAGCAATTTCAATTGCTTTTGTTTGATTTGCTCATTCCAAACAGCTGAAAGTCTGTACATTATGACAATAAAACTGATTTTCAATGATGGTTAAATAATTTTGATTACAATTGTATATATTGAGGTGTTGTTGTTCATTCCAGTCGCCTGAGGCAGCACCCAGTCCAAAGGACACTCTTGTGGGAACCGTTCAGCAGGCGATAGAAAACAGGCCAAAAATTTGTATAACAATAAAAAAAATGCATTCTTGAATAGGGACCCCTTTCATGAATGCATATGTAGAGAGCAAAACCAATGCATTCTGAAGCCATCAGATTCTGAGTAGAGGACTCAAATAACATATGAAACATGAAGTGTTGCATAAGCCCATCACCTGAAGCAATGCAGAACCCAGGCTGGAGAAGGAACCATGGGCATGGGTTCCCCCTAGACCAGAGAAGTCACTGTGGGCATGGGGGAAATGTAAACCATTTACGTAGTAATATAATAATGCCCCTAACCCCCCACTACTGCCCCTAACCACACACTATTGACCCTAACCCTCTACTACTGTCACTAACCCCCAACTATTGCCCCAACCACCCAACACAGGTCCTAACCCCTCACTACTAATGCTCCTAACCACCCACTACTGCCCTTAACCCTCTACTAATGCCCCTAACCTCCCACTACTGCCCCTAACCACATACTATTGGCCCTAACCCTCTACTACTGCCACTAACCCCCTACTATTGCCCCAACCACCCACCACAGGTCCTAAGCCCCTAGCCACCCATCGAAGATCCTAACCCACCATTACTGACCCTAACCCCCCACTATGCCCCTGCTCCCCTACCACTGCCCCTGACCCCCTGCTACTGCCCCTGACCACCCGCCCCGCCCCCCAACGCAGGTCCTAACCTACCACTTAGCCCCTAAACACTCACTTCAGCCCTTATCCCTCCACTACAACTTATAATCCCTTATTTAATCCTCTAACCACTCACTACACCCCCCTAACTCCTCACTACACCCCCACTGCAGCCCCTATACCACTACCCATAACATCCACTACTGTCCCTATCCATCACAACAGCCTCTTACTTTAAACCCTCACTACAGCACCTAAACTCCCCCACCCCCCAGCTATCTTGGGCTGAGGGGGAGATAACTTGAATCTTCCTTTCCATCTTGTACTAAATGGAAATTACACTACTTCCTACATAAATTATCCACACATTACACATTGCCACGCATAACACTCAGAGCGGCCGAAACGTATCACTCACAGCTTCTCACACTGCCACACATACCGCTCACAGCTACCCACACGCAGATACTGACAGCTATGCACACATTACACAGCCTAATACATCACGCACAGAAAGCCAAAACATTCACTCCACACATAGCTATACCACGTTCATCCACCCTACACAACAGACACAGCCACACCCACACCACACATCCGCTCAACATTTTGAAAATATTCACATTACATATAACATAGGGGAAAAATTTCCTGGTGCATACCCTAATAAAATGGGCTGCGCACATGTGGCGGCTTTACTGGAGTCTGGGCAAATGAGCTGCCCAGGCAGACCCAGCAAAGACCGTTAATACTGGCCAGATGGTCAGACTGATGTAGAAGCAATCCCTCAGGGATTGGGCATATGTGATGTCATGACATGGGTGGATCATATGGGTAGGACATTGTGATGTCACTACGTGGGGGGGAGGCAAACAAATTTTTTGCCTACGGCGGCAAAAATCCTTGCACCGGCCCTGTCCTTATGTTATTCAATTAGTGTGCCTACCTTCTTAATTATATTGCATCCTTAATATTATTAAACAATACGGTCAGCTGACCTGCCAGTTCCAATTTAAATTGTTTATAAAAAATGTTGGAGAAGCCATCTGGTGGCATGTTCAAATCCTCCAATTTTGTTTTTATCTATTTCTCAGGTAATCACTAATATTTTCCAAGGAGGAAGAACCATTGGTGAGATTATATAGTCCCTTGTAAAATTTATTGAAGCCTTTACCAACTGACTTTGGACTTTTATATATTTCTCCTTCATATATCAATTTGGCAATCCTTGAGCCAGCCGTTCTTTTTCTGAGCCTACTTGTAAGCATTTTTTCAGCCCGAGAAGTTAGCTTTTTCTATTAAAATATTTCTAATAGAGGAGATCTTAGTAATTTGTTCAGTAACTCATAAAGAGGGAGTGCTTTTATTCTCCTTTGATAATTTACTGAGCTCAACATACAACTGGTTTTAAGGAGCGACCTTTTCTCTTTTTAATTTCAAAGCCTAAGTTTATCAAATGACCCCTTATTACGTTCTTATACACACATCAAATGGTGTCATTAGAGACATCTTCCCTGGTGTTTTCTTCAAAGTATAGTTTTGTCATGTCTTTCAGATAATCCAGATTTTCCTTCACTCTCAAAAGTGTCTCATTCGAGCACCATGATGACCGAGTTTTCCCTCTACATCCTATAAATTTGTCAGGAATAAGAGCCGAATGATCTGTCCAGACCACATCCATGATACTAGATCTCTCACGAGATTAAAAAACTACCAGATCTGTGAAAAAATAATCTATTCTGGAATAGGATAGACGTGGTAAGTACTCATAAATAACCTAAACTTAATGTAGTTCATCACTTAGTAATGAGGTCATAATGCTGAGTGATGACATCATAGTCATATACATAAGGGACAAGAAGGTGATACTTTCTCATTATAACATCTAAACTCTGATAACTAATGGTGACTCCAAGTGCATAAGGTATTTTTTTCTATCTGTTTCCGATCAACTCGCATTTTTGAAAGATGAAAAAAAGATACAGCATTCTGTAATCTGGATTTGAATCTAGACAATCAAATTTATCCAAGTGCAGCAGAAGCAACATTGTTTGACCTAAAGAGTTGAAGTACTTTGTCCTGGGATTCATGGGTTACTACTAACTTTACACAGAGTTTTTGTGTTCTGTGTTAAAGTGGTGTGTGTGGGACATCTCACTCTATTATACATAGTGACAATTTTTTAAAATCTAACAAACTGTTTTCTTTTCATCAACCAAAGGACGAGTTTGATTTGAATAGTTCAGATGCCCCAATATATAAGACAATGATTAACACCATTAGCGATAGATGTGGACTTTCCGGACAGGATCTTGCTAATTGTAAATTGTAAATGTCCACTATGATAAAAAATAACTTTCAGATCCTGCCCGTAAACAAACTGTTTCTATTTGTTACACATTTGAAACAAACTTAAATCAATTGTTAAATTGGAAATTATATTAGACAAAGAATACGAGGTAAGGTATTATAAGCATTTATAACATTTTGCACCATAATAATTTACTGAAGATATTACACATACATTTCCAGACGATTATTTTGTATTATTATTCCAGTTTTATTTTTGTTTATATAATATCGTAACATTTTTATGTCATTAATATTGTTCATTATATTGTTAAAAAAATAAAAAATAAAATAAAAAGTGGTGTGTGTGTGTATATGTAAATCTATTTCCTGCGAAGCGACACTTATCCTTTAACCCCTTAAGGACACATGACATGTCATGATTTCCTTTTATTCCAGAAGTTTGGTCCTTAAGGAGTTAAAATGTTCTCACTAAGAAAAAAAATCTCTAAAATCCTGCATATAGACCTGTAACTGGTCGTAATCACGTAAAACAGTTCCCTGACTATACATATGTTTATCACGTAAATCAGGTCTTAAAAGTTACTCACCACTGTAAGCTATAACATATACACCAAAGTTACATTTTTACTCGCCGCAAATGTTGAGCCCTGGCATAAATGAGCCTCCAGTATTGAAGTTTCCCTTTGCTGAGCATTGGAATAAATCTTATAATAATGTTTGGCCAAGCTTGCTCCCAGAATTGTCATGACTTTCAGAGAAGCTAGTATATAAACAAAATTAATATTAATTACTTAAAATTGCCTCCATAACTTTACCAGTCCCTCACCCCCACCACCCTCAACCTCTTACCCTCCCTGCTCAGTCCGCTAATGACAGAAACAGGGCATCATTATCAGGGCCGCCATCAGGGCATGACAACCATAACGGTTGTCATGGACCTGGCGGTCCTGGGGGGACCCGGACTGCTCAGGTCGTCCCGGGCCCCACATTCAGTGGCGTACATACCAGGGTCACAGGGGGCCCGGCCGCCCTGCGACCTAATATGTATGCCACTGTGGCCAGCCTCTTCTCCTGGGGGGCCCAGCAGCCGGTCACCTCAGGGCCCCCCGAGGCTGGCCCTGGTGTAACCCGGCGGGAGGGCTGGCGGGCGCGAGGGAGCTCTCTCTCCTGAGTGCTTCCTCTTCAGCTCCCTCGCGCACCGCACTGATGCCGGAGCCGGAAGATGATGTCATATTCCGGCTCAGGCATCAGTACACTGCACGCGAGGGAGCTGAACAGGAAGCCCTCAGCCAGGGAGAGTGCTCCCTCGCGCGCCCGCCAGCCCACAGGACCGGCCGCCGGGTGACACCACTGGACCCCAGGGAATTTCCTCAGCACTCCCAAAGGTAGGGAGGCTGGGGGGATGAATTTTTTTTTATACGTGTGTGTGTTAGTGTTAGAGTGTGTGTGAGTGTGTTAGTGTGTGTTAGAGTGTGTGTGTGTTAGAGTGTGTCAGTGTGTTACTGTGTGTGTCTGTTACTGAGTGTGTTAGTTTGTGTGCGTCTGTTAGTGAGTGTATGTCTGTCACTGAATGTGTGTCTGTCAGTAAATGTGTGTGTCTGTTAGCTAGTGTGTATGTGTGTCTTAAGCACTTACCTTTCTCCAGCGCCGGACTCCCTTGGCGTTGGGGATCTCTCCGCCCTGATCCGCATCTCAGCTCCGAATGTGCATGCATTATACACTAACATTTACACACACTATTCACTAACATTTACACACACTATACAGTAACATTTACACACACTATACAATCACATTTACACATGCTATACACTAACATTTACACACACTATTCACTAACATTTATACAAACTATACACTAACATATACACACAATATTCACTAAAATGTACACACACTATATGTAGTCACTATACACACATTACATCGACTACACAAAGACACACTCTGCATCCACACACTGTATTCACTAAACACTACATCCACTCTGCATTCACTACACACACTACATCCACTACACAAACATACTCTGCATTCACTATACACATTGCATTTAATACACACAAACACTACATCCACTACACAAACACACATACACACTCTGCATTCACTATAAACACACACTACATCCACTACACAAACACACAACCTGCATCTAATATACACCTCATACATTACACAAATGTACAATTTGCATCCACTATACACACTGCATCCACTATACACACACAACAGAATCAGTACAGACACTGCATCCCTGTGGGCGGACTCGGGGGGCTGGCGTGGGGGGGCAGCACTTTGGGCAGACTCGGGTGCAGGCACCGGGGGACCCAGACCTTGAGCTGTGTCAGGGGCCCTAAAATTTCTGATGGCAGCCCTTTTCATTGTGCAGCAGCAGTAGAGAGAGAGAAACCTGATACCGGAGCCTGCTCTGCATGATCACACAGCAGTTGCCCTCTCTTTTCCCCTTGTCAGGAAGTTGCAAGGTGAAGAGCTTGAAATGGCTCATGTATAAATTTGTCAGGCATGCCCAATGCACTTTTCCAGCATTCCTGGGGATGAAATTACTGATTGGTTAGATCTTTGCCACACCTGCAGTGGCTGAAGAAAGCATAAGAAAGAAGAAGCATGTAAACAAATTACATGCATAGTGAATGAACTGGCTCATTCAAAGCTAAAGCTTTTTGAATGAGACTGCGGTCTCAAAGTGATGTATGATATAAATTAGCAGAAAAAACATCTAATGCATTAACCAGGAGTAGATACATACAAAATAAAACAACCCATGCAGTTTGGGGGGTAAACCTACTAAACAGTGAGTCTGAGAGGTGTCAATATATTGGGGGGAAAAAATAGCCCCCAACGTTTTGGTAGGATTGCCTTTATTAACCCCTTAATGCCGTTACAGCGTTCTATGCTGTCCCCATTTAAATGGGCTTTAAAGCTGTCGCAGCGGCATAGAACGCTGTAAGAGCTTAAGCCCCCAGGAGGTCCACGGTACTACCCTCCGCCGCAATCCTCTTCGGGAGGACTGCCTGACAGCCTAGGCAGCCCTCCCACGGCAAATCAGGCCCCCGGGGACCATGTGATTGCTCTCAAAGAGCGAGCACATGGCCCCCTATAGCTGGCTGTGGATCTGCCAGCAGGGAGACTGTCTAGGCTGTCAGACAGTCCCCCTGCTGGTGGGTAGTGTAAAAAAAAATTATTAAACATGTTTAAAATAAATTAAATATAGATATATATATTATATGTAATATATATATATATATATATTAATAATATACAGATAAAGATTAGACTAGGCTTGCAAAAAACACTTTTAAACAAGTAAATTTACTACTTTTTTGTTTTTCAAGCACATTTATTTTGACACTTTCACTACGTCATAGGCGTGTGCAGCCTATTGTATAAGGGTGTGCACCCTAAAGCACAAACACACATGCCGCATATATATATATATATATATATACACACACATATACTGCTGTGTGTGTGTGAAAGCGCTGTGTGTGTAAGGGTGCTGTTAGTGTGTGTGTGTGTGTGTGTGTGTGTGTGTGTGTGTGTATGTGTATGTGAAGGTGCTGTGTGTAAGGGTGCTGTTAATGTGTGCTGTATGTATGTGTGAAGGTGCTGTTAGTGTGTGTGGGTGCTGTTAGTGTGTTCTGTGTGTGTAAGGTTGGTGTGTGTGTGTGCTGAGCTCACCGGGTCCTCTCCTGCCTCCCTCCCTGCCTGTGGGTCGGTGAGGGAGATCTTTGATCTCCCTCACCGGCCCATGGAGGGAGGCAGATAATGTGTGCCGCGAGGATTAGGGTGTGCCCAGACACACCCCGTGCGCACGCCTATGCACTGCATTTATTTTCTTTTTGTGTGTGAGTTCTGTACCCGTATAGGGACTTAAAGTTTGTGTTTTTAATCAAGGCACCTAGCCTAATACCTGTTTAGTTAATTCAAACAAGGGTAATAGGATTAGTATGGGTCTGGTTTTTTGCAAGCCTAGTCTAATCTTTATTTTGGGTTATGCCCTAATTACCCTACAACCAATACAAACTTGGCGTCAGATTTCCTCTCGCTAACTCTGTCTATCTTCATATAGTAATAATAATATATATACATCATATATATGTAACGTCATACGTAGTGTATTTTAATAATATAAGTACATATATTAGTAATAAAAATAGAATGAAGTTACATATACATAAGATATATATATATATATATATATTTATTTATTTATTAGATTTATATATATCCGTAAAATTACAATAATAAAATAAAAATTTTTTTTAAATGAAAATAAATTATATATACACACATATGTAATTTTATTCTAACTGTATTTTGTTATTAACATATATATATAGGTAACAAAATACACTTAGAATGACATTCTATATTTATCTATCTATATATAAAATACAATTTAAATACATATATGTATATATATTAAAATTCTACGTGTATATTTAAGTAATCTTTTAGCATAATTATGTGATTTTATTAATTAAAATTTGACTGACATGCCTGACAACCCAGGCAGAAAGTGCAGAGAATTTAATTTTCAAGCACAATATTTAACCCTGTAACTTTCCAAGACACCATGAAACCTGTATATGGGGGGGTATTGTTTTACTCTGAAGACCTCGCTGAACACAAATATTAGTGTTTCAAAACATTAAACTGTATTACAACGATGATATCGTCCGTGAAAGTTAAATTTTTTGCATTTTTCACACATAAATGGCACTTACACTCACGATATAATTGTTGTGATACATTTTACTGTTTTGAAACATTAATATTTGTGTTCAGCGAAGTCTCCCAAGTATAACAGTGCCCCCCATGTACAGGTTTTATGGTGTTTTCAAAAGTTACAGAGTCAAATATAAGGCTTGCATTCAGTTTTTTCACATTTATATACACCAGATTGGTTATGTTGCCTTTGAGATCGTATGGTAGCCAAGAATGAGAATTACCCACATGATAGCATACCGTTTGCAATAGTAGACAACCCAATGTATTGCAAATGGAGTATGTCCAGTCTTTTTTCGTAGCCACTTGGTCACAAACACAGGCCAAAATTGGCATTCAAATTAGATTTTTGCATTTTTCACACACAAATATTAACACTTACTTAATAATTGAAGTAGACAAGAACTCTAAACATAAAGAAATTCTAGATCTGTTTAATAAAGAAAAAAAAAGGAAAATTATTAATTTCAATAATTTTGTGAATAAGATGTAATCCTCACGACCCCCAGCCAAGGGTTTAACCAAGCTGTACTTCTCACTACCCTCAGCCAAGGCTTCCAATAAGCTGTACTTCTCACTACCCTCAGCCAAGGCTTCCAATAAGCTGTACTCCTCACTACCCTGCTTCCAATAACTTCTCACTACCCTCAGCCAAGGCTTCCAATAAGCTGTACTCCTCACTACCCTCAGACAAGGCTTCCAATAAGCTGTACTCCTCACTACCCTCAGCCAAGGCTTCAAACAAGGTTTACCTCTCACTATGCCCAGACAAGGAGTCAAACAAACTGTACTTCTCACTACACAGTTTGCCACCCCTTGTCACACCCACCTACGGGCGTGGGTGGCCATTCGCTCACGTGCTGATTTGTAAACACATAGAACTGAAGGCTATGTGAAACTTGTCTGCGACACAGCCACCATTTTGGACCAGGGCGGGTGTGACGAAGGTATATATTTTTAAACCTATTATTTTTATTGGGTACTATTATATCCTACCGTTACATCCTTAATCATGTGAAATACAATATGGGGGGGGGGGGTCTTAGTTTGTTTATATCCTGTAGTGCTAGACATGTGAATGGGGAAGGCGTGCCCAATGTAAAGATGTCTGCTCCCTGAATGCCCAGTGAGAGCGAGGCGTGGAACGCAAGGCCTGGCTGCTCGTGCGCAGTGCAGCTCCCTGCCTGGGATTCCAGCTGCAGGTAGGCAATGTGACAGAGGAGCACTGGGGACCAGTGACACTGTGCGGAGGGTAAGTGCAGGGAGTGGAAGCAGCATCACAAGGGCTGTAGATATGGGGTGTTCAGACAGTACCATGGTTGGTCTTTAGATTAGTCAGTCATACATTGATACCTCCCTGGCAATGGACTCATATTAAATTGGACAGAACATGTGAGTTGGGTTTGTCACAATTAAAATGTCAGTGGTTCCCTGTATGTACTAATAATGTACATTTCTGCCAGTCGTTCAATTTAGGGGTCTCTTATTGTTATATTTCCAGTACAATCTGCTAACTTTGGGTTATATTGTTGTTGTTTTTTTATTTAAAGGAGGTAGTCATGCAAATGTCATTAGCACTGTTATTGTGACATTATTGTAGAACTAAAGTGTACATTTGCTAAAGGGTTATATAGAGGAAATACACAAACTTTTGTTTGCATTTATGTCTGTGTGTAATGATGTATCCTAAGTAGTTCTCTCTGCTCTTATATGTTTTTCATGTAGAAAACTAACCACTAGAGGGGGTCTCTTGGAGGGAAAATGAAAGTATCCATAACTACTATTGAAGCCTTTTTTACCTCAAAAATCCCCTCCCAGCATTTCCTTATTCAAACATGTACATTGTGGAAACAATAAAGACGTTAAAAGCAGCTCTATCACTTTGCGGGTTTTCTTTTCCAGTTAATCCCCCCCCCCCTTTTTTTTTTGTTCCTCTATATAGTTTTGTTTTTTTTTTTAATTAAAGATGAATTTTAGTTCTACATAAGAAAAAGTAGGGACTTGTTGATTGTTGGATTTTTTTTTGGTTCAATAAACCTGCTGAAGGAGAGCTGGGCAGCACTGTGGTAGCCTCAGCAATTGGAAACAGGTGAGAATAACGTAATTTTTTGGTGTGTGTGTGTGTGTGCGCAAAACTGGGGCGGGTGACACACCTATTTTAGAACTAGGGAGAGAAGTAGGAATGCACCGAAATTTCGGCAGAAAAATGGGGCCTATCCCATTTCAGCCAAAAAGTGGTCATATCTGCCGACAATTACACGTGCTGTCCTGCAGTTTGTCTTAGTGCACGTGGAAGCTGATTTTACCAGTGACCCAGTCCGCGCTGCTTTCAGCGGAATCAAAACGAGACAAGCCTTATACTCTAGCATGGCTCCTTGGGCTGTGGCTGCAGGGGCCACATAGCACAGTGACTGGCTACGGGCTGCCCTGTGTGTGCTGAGCTCCTGTGTGAGGCACCATGGAGGCCGCCGGACCGAGCACCTGATCGCACCAAGCGAGGATCCTGCCCGCTATGCCGAATGTGAAGAACAGCAAGGGGAGGAAGAATAAGAAGACGAGCAGGAGAACGGGGCTGTGGCTGCACCGATCTGCGCAGGAGCCGTAGTCACAAGCTCTGCAACCGGACAGTGTGCATGGCCGCACCGTCTGCAGAAACCAAGAACGATATGATCAGCCTCCGAAGTCCGGCTGGGCCGGGCTAGACAGGGTTAATTTGGCATGCATTGACTGAGAGCCACTGAAAGCCCCGGACACAGTTGGATGAGGTGCACAGTCCGATGGGGGGCACAGTCCTATGGAGTCACAGCTCTCTGGCTGGATGGGGGGCACAGTCCTATGGAGTCACAGCTCTCTGGCTGGATGGGGAGTACAGGCCTATGGGGGGCAAAGCTCTCTGGCTGGATGGGGAGCACTTGTCTCTGGGTGGATGGGGGGCACATGTCTGTGGGTGGATGGGGGGACAGCTCTCTGGCTGGGTGGATTGGGTAACATCGGTCCAAGCAGGACTCACTGAGCTGTCAATCAAGCTTGTTTGAAGTCACAGCTTGATGTCATATAAATACTTACTATTTTAAAATAATTTCGATAAAAAAGTCATTTTCGGCCAAGGGCATCCTGAATTTTCGGTTTAGGTTTTGGCCCAGAAGTTTCATTTCAGTGCATCTCTAGAGAGAAGAGCTTTGGATTGGTGAGGTCATCAGGACTGCAGATCTCAGCCCAGGAGGAGGAGCTGTAGCACTGAGACCAGGATGTAAGGTAAGTAAATCTTATCCCGTGGGATGATCACACCTATATAGGTGTGGGAAGATTATAGCATTCAGAACACGTTTGTATTCCTAACAAGATAGTGTTTCTTTATGCAAAGTTTCATTTCATTTGCTAAGCTACACACAGTGGCGGAACTACTAGGTCACAATGGTCACTATTGTGATCGGGCCCTTAAGTTCCACTTGTCAAGGGCCCCATTTGGCAATATACTAAATGATTATGAAGTTACTGACATTGCATGCTGGGGTGGTGCCAGTACCAGGAGCGCTGACATTCTGTCCTGATTGCTCCCATGCCTAGTCTCATGGGACGGGGCTTCCGTTGCCACCCAAGACTCAACAAGGAGAGTGGTCAGTGGAGGAGCACAGTTCCGGGGACTGCAAGTGCTGGGGAATTGTGGAAGCAGGCGGTAAGCTGGGGGATTGTGGAGGCAGGCGGTAAGTTTGTGGATTATGGAGGCAGACTGCATGCTAGTGGATTATGAAGGCGTGCGAAGGGCTGGCTGCTCGTATTGTTGCCGAGCACTGAGGGAGCTGTGATGTTCCGGCTTTGCTCACTCGAACGCCGCTTAGTGTGACTGGGGCCAAGAAACGTTTTATTCCAGCATCACTAAGTGGTGCACGAGAGAGCAGAGCAGGGACATCAGTGCTCTCTCGCCGCCCGGTGAAAATATGCCCAACCAACCCACATCCACGAACATGCTGTCAGCTTCCATAAGCCCCCATCTGGTCGCTCACTGGACCCCATGTATTAAGAAAGCAATAACGTGTTTGTGTCAGTTTGTGTGAGTCTGTCTGTCATGGTGTATGGGTGTGTGTGTGTGTGTGTCTGTCTGTCTGTGTCATGATGTGTGTGTTTAGGTGACCAGAACCCTCCGTGTTTTTACTCATCAATTTATTTATTTATTTTTAATTAATTTTTTTTTTTTTACACCGCGTGCTGGTCTCTCCTCGACTGGTCCTGCTTCTATGGCTGAGATTATCAAGCTTGAGGAAGCCATAGAATTGGCTTCAAAACGCTGCACCGACCAATGCATCTCTATGGGAAACGTTCAGCGCCTCCATGCACAGTGTGGAGACGCTGAATGTAGGTGCTGCACACTGTGGAGCACTGACACAGGAAGTAACTCTAGTGACCATCTTAGTTGCTGTCACTTGGAAACAATGTAAACACTGCCTTTTCAGAGAAGCCTGCAGGGACAGGCTATAGACACTAGAACCACTACATTAAGCTGTAGTGGCCCTGGGGACGATAGTGTCCCTTTAGGAATTGTATTTTTGTTGAATATAAAGCTTTGTAAGTTTAAAAAAATCCTTGCTACTAACTTTTTTTTGTTAGCTGGCTCTTAGATTTAAATCAAATTTGTCAAGCCCTGGGTTAGAGCATCTCCAAAACAGCAAATCATGGAGGTTGTTCCCAGTTGATCCCTATTCACGATTGAAAGCACTTTTTTACTGGGGACATGAGCGTCCGTACTGGAGCATTTGAAGAAAGTTGCCTGGGCTAATGAATCACACTTTTCTTTTAGATCAGGTAGCTGGCCGGGTGTGTGTGCATTGTTTACCTGGGAAAGAGAGGGCAGCAGGGACGCACTACGGGATGAAGACAGGCCAGGGGAGGGCAATGTTCTGCTGAAAACCTTTGGTCATAGTATTGATGTTACTTGGACACGTACCTAGAAATTGTTGCAGACCACGTACATACCTTAATGGCAGTGCTGTTCCATAATGGAAGTGGTCTCTTACAGCAGGAAAAGCACCCTGACACACAGCCAATGTTGTTTAGGAATGGTTTGATCAACATGACAATTCAAGGTATTGCCTTGGCCTCAAAATTCCCCAGATCTCAATCCGATTGAGCATCGGTGGAATTTTATGGAAAAAAAATCTGATCCATGGAGTCACCTTATTTTTTCCTTTTTTTGTATAATAAATAAGCATTTATATTTGTATACGTTACATCAAATTAAAGCCGTTTTTGTCCTTTAAAAAAAACAAAAACGGTATACATGTTATGTGTTGGTACAATAAATTAGTCAAATGCAAATTGCAGTTGAATGCAAAACGCAAAAATTGCTTCTGTCCTTAAATGCAAGACAAGCTTTTGAAGCTGTGTCCTTAACCCCTTCACGCCGTTACGGCGTTCTATGCCGTCCCGCTTTAATTGGGCTTTAAAGCCATTGCGGCGGCATAGAACGCCGTAACGGCTTTGAGCCCTGGAGTGCCCGGGATACTTACCTACCCGGCGCTCTGCTTCGGGAGGACTGCCTCACAGCCCAGGCAGCCCTCCTGTAACCGTGGCTGGTTCCCTTATTTACCACTATAATGTCTTAAAGCATAGAACTTAGTAGGGCTAACCATACAGATATCTTAGCCATAATTTTATATAGTGTAAGAGATCCTCTATTTAACATATATAAATAATTGAGAATACAATATAAAATAAGGATTGTCTTGGAAGTAATAGTTTTGTCTTTTAGATATTTATTATATAAAAATATAAACATATAAAATCCATTATAGCAGAGTTTATAAGATTAAATTACATGATTGCAAATATCATTAATAGGTTAACATACCCTTCTGAACATGTCATCATGTCAGCCTCTATGTCATTTTAAAATGGAGCAGCGTCTGTCTCCAAGTCTCTCC